AATAGATCTCAAATACATATAATGGTTTGTGGAATATGTGGACACTCCATTAGCTAGCTAGTATGTATGTGCCTGATAGACACGTATCTATTAAAAGGCTGATACTCTTCTCTTTAATGTGATGTAATTTTCAGAGAGAAATAAAATCATATATCCAATATCGCATGATTTTATTTCATTACTTATAAAGTGTGTATGTGACACCTTTATACTCTCAGCTTTGCTTAAAGTATTCCATATTCTCATGATCCATGAACTATCACAACCAAAAGTCACATGTATATATTATTGCTTCTAATTTTCTTTTCTTTCTTTTACATTTATATTTTCGGTAAGAGTGGGGTTGTACTTTTGGGTGCTGGTGGGATAGAAACCCTATGCATAATGAAGTGATGCAAAGTAAAGTAGCAATCACCGGGAAATGTCACCCTTTGTCTTTCTAATGAATTATAGTCTTTCATTTTTGTCCTTTTACAATAAAACTTATAATAGTAAAAAATATATTGATAAGAAACCAAGATTTTACCGAGACATAACTCATGAAATATCGTACTACTTATTTATTATATAGGACGTATTGAATGACCAACTCAAAAATTAGGGGAAAATGTGCAAATAACCGCTCAGACCCTCTACCTTTAAAAGTTGTTTGATGCAAGGTAGAGTAGTAGACTATTAATGGACTAACTACAACTTGAATTATCCACCTTATTAAAATCTAGTACAGTAATTATCAAAATAATAATGTATATTTATTTGTAAAGAAAAAAAAATGCATCCAAATATATACATACCAAATGAGACTCCCAATCTATGACTCAAAGTTCAAATTGGGGTTAGGTACTATGAAGGATATATATATATATATATAACCAACCTACTTCCTACCTTTTGTGTTTAGGAGTTGGGTAAAAGATACCTATAAAAATCTTTAATCTTCTGAGTGTGGGGTACAAGCAAAGAAAGGAGTAGAGATGTCACCACCCAAACCACCGTGAGTGGCAACAACCTAGAGGGAGAACCAATTGACAATCCAAGAACCAGCACGTCATTTGTAAAACCAAATGATCATGATATAAAACTAAGAAAAGTAGTTTAAAAATTACCAAAGACTTGTGTCCCCATAAACTTAACCAATAATCAAAACATTGCAGAAATAAAAATCTTTAAGAACGGAAAGTCGCTGTATCAAAATTATAAATAGTCAACAATAGAAATGCAACCTCGAAACTAGAAAGCATAAGTCCAATAGTTTAAAGTGTTTGTGTCAAAAAAGATGGACAAGAAAATATAGAAGAACTCGTGGTCAGTGGCGGAGCCAGAATTTTCACTAAGGGGCTCCAAAAAAAAAAATAGACACATGAAGTAGTCAAAGTGGGTCCCTCATCTACTATATATACCTAAGAGATTATTTTAACCATGTATAGATCATATAAATTTCCGCCGAAGGATGTTTAGATGAACCCTCTCATTGTAAAGCGACTCCGCAACTGCTCGTGGCAACATGAAAGAGTAGCTCACCCTTGAATTCGAGGTCACAGTTTGTTCAACTGAGGTATCGTATCAACCATCTTAATATATCTTGTACTCAACTAAGAAAGAGCAAGTGTGGTATCAGTACACAACTACAATGAATTGGTAGGATCACATGAACAGTTCCAAACTATGAATGTAAATAGACAACTAAAACATAGTAAAGACATGCCAACACATATACCACAATTACGAATATATACCTCAGTCACAACAACAAAAAATAAATCAATACCTAGATCCATGTCCCACATGATCATAATAACAAATACTTATTCCTCTCATGGAACCCACACATAAATCATTAGTGTACCCGGTGTGGTACCCGAGCAAACTAAAGTCAGTAAACATACGAGACATGGTACTCAAGCCAACCATTAGTATTCCTATATCGATATGGTACTCGAGCAAACAAACAGTCAAAAACAATCATGCACATTCCCACTCATTATGAGCAACAACATGTCAAATCATAAACAACAATAACAGGATCATTGCATGAGGTTATCAATATAATGAACCAACAGCAGTCACAAATAATCATGCACAATCCCACTCATTATGAACAACAACACTTGAAATCATAAGCAACAATAACATGTTCATTGCATGAGGATATCAACATGATGATATTTCATATTCTTTTTTATCTTCTTACCAACATGCATCACACAATGATACTATAACCAGTAGACATGCATGTATACATAAATAGAAAAATATACAATCACTTTCTATTGTCACGTCACGAGCCTTCGATGTAGCCAACATTCGAGAATCGTTGCTAGCCCCCACGCAAACCTGTAACATCTCGTAAACCGAAATATCTAGGATTATCAAAGAAACTAAGAATAGTTATTTTTTGAAAGAATAGGAGAAATCTGGAAAATTTTCCAAGTGTAAAAGTAAGTTTTTGGTCATTTTTAAACGTCCATAAATTCTAGCTCAAGATGAATTAGGGCCAGTTCTTTATACGGTTGGCAATCCCTTGAAGAGATCATTCTAAAGCCGCCAAGTTTGCATAATTTTGATAACGTATGAGGGAGATATGCCTATCTGATGTTGGGCTGTTGGATTGAGGAAAATCCAATCCGAATTTTAGTAAGGGTAAAGTAGTCTTTTCACCCTACTATTTCCTAATTTGTATTAAGGTTTCATTAGGTGTAAAATTAAGCCTTAAGTCAATTTTTAGAAGATTTAATACGCTTAGGGATTGGAATAAAAGAGAAGAGAAGAATTAGAAAGGAGAAAAGATGAAGATTTCACCAAAAACAACAAGATCGTTGAGTGAGTTTCATCGGGGGTGATCCCTTTAAAGTATGTGAGATCTTTCTGTGATGGGTTATTCCACCCACATAATAATATTTTTCATTCAGTGCAATTAGAGTAGACTGAATAATGAACATTGAAGTTCTTGATGAAAAACCATTGAATTCTTGTTGGTTGAGAAGTAGTATACCTTGGGTTGTTTCATTTGTGTTTCCGGGCTATTTTATGAGTCTAAACTATTGGGTATTGAGTATTTTAGTTATACTAAGTATATGGGGTGAGATCCATGGGATTATAGAAGGTTTAGAATTGAAAATCGGAGAAGAAAAGTTGGAAATCCCTTCTGACAAAACCTGGGGCGCTGCGTCTGCCAGAGCCTCTCAGGGCGGCCTCTGTCTGATAGGGCTTGGCACGTAGCGCCATCCACATCCCCCCAGGACAGTCTCTGTCTGTCAGGCTCTGGTGTCGCGCCTCTCAGAGCACTAGGAGCACCTGGAGATCCCATTCCCCCCATCTTTTCGTACGAGTTCCCAAGTGATGTACCTATAATTCCTAGTTGTGCCAAAACTCTAAATTACATATAAACATCATGAAATAATCAATACATATGAGATCATTGTCTTTGAATCCATAATCAAATTCAAGAAAAGTTAAGGTCAAAGTCAAAGAAGTTAGGAGTCAAGTTTAAAAGTTAATAAGCAAGTCAAAGTGAGTTCTTAGAGTTTTCAAGAGTCTTAAACAAATATTTTTACTTTGTTTTAAGTCTCAAGTTACCAGTTAAGCAATAAGTAATGAATTGAGCCTATGTCTCAAAAATTGTAGGGGAACTAAGTACTCTCTAAGAGCTAAGTTTCAAGTGAAGCAAAGAGCGAGTTCATTTCTCAAAAGATGTAAAGGGAACTTAGTAGTCCCTAAGAGTATAAATGTTTTCATATTTTGAGAAATAAAGGAGGTTATACCTCCACAGATCCTTCGGCTAGTTTAGAAAATGAGAACTATGATTTCCAAAAGAGCTTTTAAAGCTAAGTTTGAGCAATTACCTCAAACCTGAGAATAAATTGTTTTAAAAGCATATGAGCTAAGTATTTTGGAAGTAGTATTGAGCACCAATATGGGGACACGAGTTCATACCAACTAAAGTTTCCATACACCATGTAGCCATCATGGACAGATAAACGGTCAAAAGTTTTAGATGATTTGTTAGCATAGACTAGTGGATCCACTTAGTAGTTCAGGTTTTATACCGACGACAAGGTATAGAGCAGTCCTCTTGCAACGTGAGGTAAGAAGTTGTACCATCACTTAGCCTCATAGTGATGGTTGTCGGTTAGAACACAGAAATTATATTACTTTCATATATAATCAAAGTTGAGTTTAGTATTGCATTGCTTTTAATGAACTAAGTGTTTACACTATTTTTTCAAGTTATATATATATATATATGTATGTATGTATGTATGTATATTGTGTGTCTTTACTACTTTATATTGAGTTATTACTTATTGAGTTGAGCATTCCAACCTGCATACTCGTACATTCAATATAGCGATATCAGCTGGCCTGCATCGTCTTATGATGCAGATGCAGGTAACCAGGATCAGCATCTAGCACCTCTTTGATCCAAATTGAGCTTTCAGAGTTAGTGGTGAGCCTCCTTGAATTTTGGAGAACTCTTTAATTGCTTTCCGTAATTCCTTTATAGAATGTTGTGAGGGGGTTGTACCAACATTCATCTTAGTAGTAGTAGAGTCTTCATAGACAAATAGATAGTCAGACAGTCAGTTTGGGTCTCTACTTAAATACAGATATACATATATTATTTTTGAGACTTAAGTGTCATTTTGGACAAAACTATTATTTAAAGTGTTCTCATCAAAAAGTTTCTTGCTTTATATTTAAGTTAAGTCTTTTGCTGAGTTAGGTAATCCAGACCAAGGGTTTGTTCAAGGCCAACAATGGTCGTTGGGTGTCGGCCACATTCAGGGAGTAGGCTCTGCCGTGATAAGCTTGGTATCAGAGCACAATGTTCAAGAGTCCTAGGGTGTCTATGAAGTCGTGTTTGTAGAGTCTTAGTCATTGGTATGGCGTGCCACATCTATGATTAGGAGGTTACGACGTTAAGGAAATTCTTCACTTCTTTGATATTTCTTTTTATGCATTAGAGTTTTTTCTCTAAAAAGTTCCCTTCTAATTCTTTCATGCGCGTGTTGGAGATCATCATGCTTCCACGAAGAGCATTCAAAGGTCGAATAGTCATACGAAATGTTGAGGAGCCAGAGGTACCTAATGTACTTGATGTGCAACCTCAAAGGGAAGTCACTAGTGTTGAGTTTCGCGAGGCTATTCGAACGCTAAGACAAGTGGTAACTAACCAAGTCGGGCAACAAAGGGAAGCATTACAAGAAGGGTCTGACACTTTTATGATTCGGGAACTCTTGAGGATGAATGCCCCAAGCTTCGCTAGTTCGAGTTCTATTGAGGGTCCGGAGAACTTTGTGGAAGAGTTGAAAAAGGTATTCGAGGTGATGCATGTGATTGATACTGAGAGAGTTTAACTAGTTATATCTCAACTCAAGAATGTGGCAAGGACTTGGTTTGATCAGCGGAAAGAGGGCAAAGATGAGGATGCACCGAATCCGAGTAGGACTTGTGTTGAAGAAGGGTTCTTGGGGCATTTATTTCCCCGAGAACTGAAGAAAGCAAAGGTATGAGAGTTCTTTATTCTAAAATAAGACTCTTTCAGTGTTCATAAATATGGGTTGAAGTTTACCCAAATATCTCGCTATACTCTTGAGATGTTTAAGGATATAACGAGCAGAATGAGCTTGTTGTTACTAGCTTGGGTTGTGCTTCAAGAAAAGAAGGTAGAACTGCAATGTTGATTGGGGAGATGGACATTTCAAGGCTAATGGTCTATATGCAAAAAGTTGAAGAAGAAAATCTAAGTGACAGAGAGGAGTACAGGAACAAGAAAGCTAAGAGCGGAATGAGTCTGATCAACAGAAGGGTGGTTCAAGTCAACCCAAATTTCAGAAACAAAAGGGGCATGCACCATCATTTGCTAGAGCACCTGCACCTTAAAACAAAAAAGAGTATAATGTCCATAATTCGTAGAACTTTAAGGCTAGACCACCCTAGTCCCAAGGTAGTGTGGAACAAGTAGGTAGTGAGGCACCTTCATGTACAATTGTAGTCAAGAGGGCCACTATATGAAACAGTCCCAAGAATAACCAGTGAGATGAAAATCTGACAAATAGAGCCCAATCATCATCAACTGCTCCACCAGACAGGGATGCACCTAAAGGAGCCACTTCTGATATTGGTGGAGGGGCAATCACTAGCCGCTAAGAGCAAGAGAACTCTCCAGATATTGTCACAGATATGATCAAAGTCTTTAGATGTTTATGGTTTGTTAGACCCAGGAGCAAGTTTATCTTTTTTAACTCCTTATATTGCAAATCAATAAGGTTATTCCTGAAAGTCTTTGTGAACCCTTCTGTGTCTTTACACCTGTTGTGGAGTCTATCCTAGCGACAAAAGTCTATTGTGATTGTCCTCTTTCCATCAATCATAAGAACACCATGGTTGATCTACTAGAGTTAGACATGGTAGATTTTGATGTTATTTCGGGTATGGACTGACTGCATGTGTGTTTTGCATCAATACATTATAGAACTCGAGTTGTCAAGTTCCTGATTCCCAATAAACCAGTCATAGAGTGGAGTAGTAGTTCAGTAGTGCCTAAGGGTCATTCAATTTCGTACTTTAAGGAGAGAAAGTTAGTTTCAAAGAGGTGTATCTATCACTTAGTCCGTGTTAATTACTCAAGTGCTGAGGTACTTTCCCTTTAGTCATTTTCTATAGTAAAAGAGTTTCCAGAAGTCTTTCCTGATTATTTACCCAGAGTTCCTCCTAAAAGAGAGATAGATTTCGGCATAGAAATCATTCCAAATACTCGTCCTAACTCTATTCTGCCATATAGAATGAGACCAATAGAGTTAAAAGAGTAGTTGAAAGATCTATTAGATAAAGGTTTTATCGGACCAAGTATCTCACCTTGGGGCGCTCCGGTTTTATTTATGAGAAAGAAGGATGGTTCCCTTAGGATATATATAGACTAACACCAATTGAATAAGGTGACCATAAAGAATAAGTATCCTCTTCCAAGGATAGAAGATCTTTTCGACCAGCTTCAAGGTGCTTCTTGCTTCTGAAAAGTGATCGCAGATCAGGCTACCATAAGTTGAAAGTTAAGAAATGTGATATCCCAAAGACAACTTTTAGAACTAGGTATGGGCATTATGATTATTTAGTTATTGTGCTTTGGTTTGAAAAATGCACCAGCAACATTAATAGATATTATGAGCAGAGTCTTCAAACCTTATTTAGATCTGTTTGTCATCGTCTTCGTAGATGACATACTAGTTTATTCAAGGAATGAAGATAATCATGCTAGTCACCTAAGAATTGTTCTACAGACTTTGAAAGATAAGGATCTATATGCTAAGTTCTCAAAGTGTGAATTTTGGCTTAAGTCTGTTGGCATTATTGGGCTACATTGTGTCCGGTGATGGGATTAGTTGATTCCAAAAGTTAGAAGTAGTTTAGAGTTAGCCTAGACTGACATAAGCATTAGATATAAAGAGTTTCTTGGGTTTGGCTGTCTATTATAGGTGATTTGTTGAAGTTTTTTTTGTCTATATCAGCTACTTTGACCAAGATAACCTAGAACACAATCTAGTTTCAATTGTCTGAAGCTTGTGAGAAAAGCTTTCAGGAATTTAAAAAGAGATTGACTACCCTCCATTTTTTACTTTACCAGAGCGTACTCAAGATTTTGTGGTGTACTACGATGCATCAAGATTTAGTTTAGGCTGTGTGTTAATGCACAATGGCAAGGTTATAACTTATTCCTCCAAATAGTCGAAGGTTCATGAGAAGAATTATTCGATTCATGACTTAGAATTGGTTGGAATAGTTTTTATTTTGAAGATATAGCGTGACTATTTATATGGTGTTCATGTTGACATATTCACTGACCACAAGAGCCTCCAATATGTGTTCACTAGACAAAGGAAGTGGTCAGAACTACTCAAGGATTATGACATGAGTATTCTTTACCACTCAAATAAGGCTAATGTGGTTGTTGATGCCTTAAGCAGGTTATCCATGGGGAGTACCACCCATGTTGAGGAAGAAAAGAGAAAGTTATATAAAGATGTGCAAAGATTTGCATGCTTGGGAGTCAGACTTATCGATTCCACAGACGAAGGGATAGATGTGATTAATGGGGCTGAATTATCACTAATGTCTGAGGTGAAAGTGAACAAGAGCAAGATCCCATTTTGCCTGAGTTGAAGTCAAATTTCCATAAGCAAAGAGTATTAGCTTTTGAGCAAGGGGGAGGTGGTGTGCTAAAGTATCAAGGTAGGTTGTGTGTACCTAGGGTAGATGGACTCCAAGAGAGGATCATGGAGGAGGCTCATAGCTCCAGATATTCCATTCATTCGGGTTCCACAAAGATGTTCTGCAATTTGAGAGACGTATATTGGTAGGATGGCATGAATAAAGACATTACTGAGTTTGTTGCCAAATACCTGAATTTCCAACAAGTTAAAGTGGAACACCAATGACCTGGAGAGTTGGCTTAGAAGATAGAACTTCCAGAGTGAAAGTGAGAGATGATTAATATGGACTTCATCACAGGCTTACCAAGGCATCGCATGCAACATGATTCTATTTGAGTGACTTTCAATAGTATGAAAAAGTCAGCCTATTTCTTGCCGGTAAAGACTACTTATTTGACCGAGGATTATGTTAAGTTGTACCTTCAAGAGATGGTGAGACTTCATGGAGTTCCGGTCTCCATTATTTAAGATAACGGTGCACAATTTACTACACAATTATGGAAATCTTTCCATAAAGATTTGGGTTCAAAGGTGAACTTAAGCACTACTTTTCATCCTCAGACAAAACGACAAACATAGCATACTATCCATACCTTAGAAATATGTTGAGAGCTTGTGTGATCGTCTTCAAAAGGAATTGGGATGATCACATACCTCTAATTTAGTTTGCTTACAACAGTTACCATTCGAGCATCCAAATTGATCCATATGAGGCTCTTTATGGGAGAATATGCAGATCTCCTATTGGATGTTTTAGAATTGGTGAAGTAGGGTTAATAAGACCAGATTTAGTTCACCAAGACATAGACAAAGTGAAAGTGATTTAAGAGAGATTGAAAATGGCATAGAGTCTCCAAAAGTCCTACATAGATATTAGGAGAAGGCCGTTAGAGTTTGAGGTAGACCATTGTGTCTAAAAATTTCAGCCATGAATAGGGTTATGAGGTTTGGTAAGAATAGAAAATTTAGTCCCCAACACGGGTCCTTATAGAATCTCCAAGAGGGTTGGCAATGTAGCATATGAGTTGTAGTTACCCCAAAAGTTAGAAGTGGTTCATCTGGTAGTCCATGTGTCTATGTTGAAGAAGTTCCTGGATGATCCTTCATTAATTGTACCAACTGATAATATTGAGATTAAGAATAGCTTATTCTATGAGGAGATTCCTCTTCAAATTTTGGATCGTCAAGTTTGCAAGTAGAGAACAAAGGAAGTGACATCAGTCAAGGTACATTGGAGGAACCAATTTGTTGAAGATGCAACTTGGTAAGCTGAAGATGATATGAAGAACAGATATGAACATCACTTTGAGTCCGGAGCGAGTACAAATCAAGGTACTAAATTATCTTCATAGCACTTTTAAGACTATGTGTAAGCATGTTATTACTTGCTTTTGTTGGTTGCTTACTAAAATGATGTTACTACCTTTAGCTTAGTGAAAGAGGTCTCCTAAGAATATTTATTTTTTGAAAGAATAGGAGAAATCTGGAAAATTTTCTAAGTGCAAAAGTAAGTTTTTGGTTATTTTCAAATGTCCATAACTTCTAGTTCAACATGAGTTACGGTCAGTTCTTTATATGGTTTGAAAGCCCTTGAAGAACTTTCCAACGCCGTTGAGTTTGAAAAATTTCGATATCGAAAGTTGTGCTGTTGGATTGAGAAAAGTCCAATTTGGATTTTATTAAGTAAAGTAATCTTTTCACCTTACTATTTCCTAATTTGCTTTAAAGGTTTATTAGGGGTCAAATTAAGACACAAGTCAGTATTTAGAAGATTTAATACGCTTAGGGATTGGGAGGAAAGACAAGAGAAGAATGAGAAATGAGAAAAGACCAAGATTTAACAAAGAACACCAAGATCGTTGAGGGTGATCCCTTTAAGGTATGTGAGATCTTTCTGTGATGGTTTCTTCCACATAAACAATAATATGTTTTAATTTTGCGCAATAAGAGTCGATTGAATAATGAACATTGAAGTTCTTGATGAAAAATTGTTGAATTCTTGTTGCTTGAGTTGTAGTATACTTTGGGTTGTTTGATTCGTGTTTCTGGGTTGATTTACAAGTCTAAAATATTGTTTATTGAAAATTTATATGATCGTAAGTGTATGGGGTGATATCTATGGGATTATATAAGATTAAAATTGAAAATAAGAGAAGAAAAGTTGGAAATCCCGTTTGACAGGACCTGGGGCACCGCGCCTGCTAGAGCCCCTCAGGGCAGCCTTTTCCGGACAGGGCCTGGTGCGTTGCGCCAGCCAGATCCCATCAGGACAGTCTCTGTTTGTCAGGCTTTGATGCCCCACAATTCACATAGCTCCAGGGTCACCCGAAGATCCCATTCCCCCCATATTTTTGTACGAGTTCCTAAGTGATGTACCTATAATTCCATGTTGATTCTAACAATCTAAAGTACATCTAAAGATCATGAAATCATCCATAAATATGAGATCATGGTCCATAATCAAATTCAAGAAAGTTAACGGCAAAGTCAAAGAAGTTAAGAGTCAAATTTACAAATTAAGAAACAAGTCAAAGTGAATTCTTCGAGTTTTCAAGACTGTTAAACAAACATTTTTAATTTATTTGAAGGCTCAAGCTACAAGTTGAGCAATCATTAATGACTTGAGTCGAAGTCTCAAAATTTAGAAGTGAACTAAGTATTCCCTAATAATTAAGTTTCAAGTAAAACAAAAATCTAAGCGTGAGTTCATTTCTCAAAAGTTATAAGGAAACTAAGTAGTCCCTAAGAGTACAAATTTTTTCACATTTTGAGAAATTAAGAAAGCTAGACTTCCACAGATCCTTTCACTAGTTTTGAAAATGGGAACTATGATTTCCAAGATAGCTTTTAAAGCTATGTTTGAGAAATTACCTCAAACCGGAGAAGAATTTGTTTTAAAAACATATGAGAAAAGTATATTGAGAGTAGTATTGAGCACCT